GGTACATGGGAGAGGAGGAGGTAGGAGAAAGGGAGGGGGTAGCCAACAAACCCAGGGACAAGGGAACAATAAGAGACCTAAAATTGATGACGAGGGCATAGAATGCTTGATGGGGTTTGATCAAGTACACTGTAGCTGAGGGAAAGTACTGAGAGTTGAGTGAAGGTCAAACATGATAGTGGGACAGGAAGAAAGTAAAAAGAAATAGAGGAGAGAACTAGAAGGGAAAAGACATTTATAGAGGTATGAATATAGGCATGCACATATGTCAATATAAAAATAAGGATATAGGCCTGTGTACATATATTTAAATGTTAAGTATTAAGGTGGTAGACAGGCATTGGGTCTCTACTAAAGTACTCCCTTAACGCATTAACACTGTTCTAATAAACTGGCATTCTGTGATGCTCACCTTCCCGACATGAACACTGAAGTCAAAATGGGTGCATAGGTGAAGAAAGCTGATAGTGCCCAGCTATTAAAAGATTTAGCATCTGGGGTTCTTAAAGGCTTGAAGTTAAACAAAGCAGCCATCTAGCAGAGGAACAGCAAGCCCACATGGAAGAAGCACATCAGCCGTGTGACCATGTGCCAATGGGATCAGGTAACAGGTATCAGAGAACCCCAAACAAACCAATATATTGATGCAAATGATGGGTGTCGGAGAGGAGACCCAAAGCCTAAGAAGGGTCACAAGGAAGGAACGAGTCAGCCAGGGTGCAGCATAGCACTAATGGAACACACAAGATTCCTCTAGTTCATTAATACCCTCCCCACACCCACCCATACACACACTATCATGACCACAGTTCTACCCTACAAATCCAGCTAGGCCAGAGCATGCACACTGGTACAGAAAGGAGCTTTCAACACACGGAATCCAGGACAGATAAACCCCTCAGGAACAGTAATGGGAGTAGTGATACCATGAGGGTGTGGGGAAGGGGGAGAAATGGGGAACTGTGTACAGTGATGGATGTATAACCTACCCCCCAGGGGGATGAACAACAGAAACGTGGGGGAGGGAGACAGTGGATGGTATAAGATATAAAAAGAATAATTTATAATTTATCAGGGGCCCATGAGTGTGGGAAGGTGGGGAGGGAGGGAAAAAGAGGAGCTAATACCAAGGACTCAAGCAGAAAGAAAATGTTTTGAAAATGAGTTTGATACAATTGATGTATGGATTGTTATAAGAGCCCCCAATAAAATGATTTATTGATAAAAGTATGAGCTGTTGAATGTAAAACTGATGACCGGCTCTGTAAACCTTCACCTAATTCACAATACAAAATAAAAAACCAAACCTTCACTTGTAGGTATGCTGTGAAATGTACAAGATAGAAATGGAAAACCTGAGATAAAACACCACGAAGCTGTTCTGGCATTGCTTTGCATATCTCAGTGGGAAGTTCGATGCTACCGTCAGGGTGCACTCCCTGAGAAACACAAAGGACAAGGTGGTTAGTGCAGAAAAGAGCAAACTCAAGTTCTATTTATGTTGACAAGGTTATACTTTTTTCCTTAAAATGTGTGCAGCAATATTTTCTTTATTTCCTTTGCAAAATTATTGGAGTTGAATGATAGACTGCATGCAAAGCTACTGTGAAAGCTTTAAAATAGTGCAGAGATAGATGTTAAACCCCAAACCAAACTCATTGCCATGAATCGCTGCTGACTCATATCG